GGTTGGTGCATAGCACTGAATGAAGGTAAAGTTTTTGCATTTAGCTTTAAGTCGCATCCACATTATCCTTTCAGATACAGATTCCCATTTCATGAGACTGTTTTGCTTTTCTTGGATAGCATAGTCAGAATAAAAAAAAACTCCTGTACTCAGTGTTATCTTTCCAATTTAATTCCATCTTGCTTCTCATTTCCTTAGCTATTTATTTGCATGTCCCGTCTCGTGCATTCCACTGGGCGACTTTTGTGACTGTTTGGATGAAACCAGGGGTATCGGTTTGTTACACGACATTCTCTGTTGTGATGGCGGTCTTCAGATGCATTTTCAATGATAATAACATCAGCTCCATCCCTTGTAGGGCAAGCACGTAAGAAGTAGTTTCTGTAGTTGAGTTTTTTACAGGACAAGGTGATGCACCTGGTGCCTTAGGCTACCAGCTGCCTGTAGGCCCGGGGATTTGTAGTCAAGTTTCCATCCTCTAAATGAGCTCCTATCTAAAGCTATGATGACTCCCGTCTAGCCACTGGCTGAATTTTATATTAGTTTCATTTCTTAGAAATGTTGCCTACCATGGCTAACGACTCCTTTCTAGCCTGCTATTAACCCATAGCTTGGCCAAGGTTGATGAGTGCTATGGATGTCCACACGCCGGTGGGCACACACACTGCATCTCTGGGGCCCTTGCTACTCCGAGATCCCCTCCAAGGTGTTATTATTATGAGTACATGAGTGCGTACGCAACCCCCCCCCCCCCACCAATTGATGAATCTGCACTTGAAATAGAATATTAAAAAATTAAGATACGCCAATAATTTTTTGCCGATTGTTCAAATTTGGAATGGATTCACTATTATGGAAATTTCTTTATACTTTTTGTCATTTTCACCGTGTCAGCAGACTGGATTTAAATGGTATTTTTCTGAAGAAAAAAAAAGGATTTGCCTTTCAGTTGCTTGAACTTGCCGTATGACCGTAAATTAAGGCCATGCCTGACCTTTGAACCAAAAGCAATCTATGTAAAAAGTATGAGCTTTCAGTGTTTCTCTGTAAAAAAAAAAAAAGTCATAGCCAAAAGAAGATAGCAATGACAAACAGGTGGACAGACCGACATACCAGGTGATTCTGGGATTATGTACTCCTCTAAACTTCTTTTGCGGGGGTATAAAAAGGTCCTTGTTTTCCTGGGACGTCAAATATCAAAATCGTGAATAACACCCGGAAAACGTCAGATATTTCGGACTACGGGAAACCCGATTAAAATAAGTGTACATGTACTTTACATGCATCCAATTTTTCACTTAGATAAATGTTACATAACTCTACAATTAAATATCACTTATTGTTGTCGTGCGACATATTACGAAATAGTATCTTTAAACGAGTTTGTATAAAAATGTTTTGAACCTAAACGAGGCATTCTGAGAGTATTACATAAGCAATACAAGTGCACTACCGGTACGTGTTATCCAGTTCTCATTAAAATTAACAAGAGGTCCATGGGCCGCCACAACGCTCTCATGAGTTAACTTTTGCGTTGATGTTCTTCACGAGATTATCCCTTTGCTACACTCAATGTGGCCCCACCTTACAACCGGTGGTGGGGTGGGCATGGTTTGAATAATTTAAAATCTACACTGCCTTAGGATGCTTCCATTTGAATTAAAGCCTTTTTTTATCCCTGGTTCTTGGGAAGAATTTTTTTTTTTAAAAGTTGTTACCTATATATAATATCTATAAGCCTAATATTGTTATAGAAATCCTCTTGCAGCGGAGTCTAAGAGGATACAAGCAAATTCAAAGAATTGTGGTCCCCCGCTTTCGGTGTCTTTTTGGGTGAGATGTCATTTTTTAATGACATTTTGTGTCTAATATGAACACCCTATCATAAGTTATCTATTTAGAAATTATCACTGAACTCCAAGGTTAAGGTCAAAGGATTAACATTCTTGGTATCCAATGAAAAGTCTTCTCAGAAGGATTACATTTGTGAAGTATGAAAGCCCTAGCCCTTACCATTCAAAAGTTATGATCAAGGTTAAAGTTTTCTCATAAGTAAAAAAATCTCCAAGGTCAAGGTCAAAAGGTCAAGGTTGTTGGTATCAAATGAAAGGTCTTGCCACAAAGAATACATATGTGAAATATGAAAGTCCTGGTATCTACTGTTCAAAAGTTGTGGCCAAGGTCAAAGTTTTTGAAAAGTAGGTCAAACTCCAAGGTCAAGGTCCAAGGGGCAAAGTTCTTGGTATTCAATGAAAGGTCTTCTCACAAAAATTATATATATGAAGTATGAAAGCCCTAGCCCTTACCATTCAAAAGTTATGGTCAAAGTTAAAGTTTTTTCATAAGTATGTAAATCTCCAAGGTCAAGGTCAAAAGGTCAAGATTGTTGGTATCCAATAAAAGGTCTTGCTACAAAGAATACATATGTGAAATATGAAAGTCCTAATAGATACCATTCAAAAGTAATGGCCAAAGTAAAAGTTTGGAATTTTTGTGTAAAAGTGGGTCAAACTCCAAGGTCAAGGTCAAATTTGGTGGTACCCAAAGGTTTTGTCACAAGAAATACACATATGAAATATGAAAGTCATAGCCCCACTAAATCAAAAGTTATGGGCAAGGTTAAAGTTTTTGTGAGAGACGGACAGACTGACGGACAGACGAATGAGATTTAATTAATGTCCCCTCACTTTCGCAAAAGCGGGGGACAATAATTATACACTTGGGGTGGGGGTGGGGTGGTAACCTTTTGTGTGGCGTAACAGATATGACACAATTGTTTCAAGATTGATCCAGAAATGCTGTCTGGATTTACAGATATGCTATTTTAGGAGGGTATGCGCCACTTTGCAGTGCCCTTGATTTACAAATAATTCTAAGCTTTGAATTTTAAAAATACATTTCATTCGTTTGAACAATTTCTAAACTTGACTGTAACGATTTAAATTACATTTCAAATAGGGCCTATAGTGAGTACTTTTATAAATGCAATATAAAAATTGCTGAATTTGCTCAAACAAATCTAAATCTTTATATCAGATAAAAATTGAACTGTTTATAGAAATTTCATTTGCTAACTTTTTTTTACAGAATTATAAGAAAAAATCCCTTCCAATACGCCTAAGAAGTATTTATTTTTTGATGGGATACTTTTAGATTCTTGAATATCGGTACTTAGCAATATATTCACAGACCCCTACATATTATTTAAAGCATTATTTTTAATTATCAACCTTTAAAAATTGGCAAAAAATGTTATGTAGGCCATTTTGAACTTATCTTAAAAAACATAGGTAATCAGAGATTACAGAGCTCACCTCAACGAATGTTGTCTTTAAGTAAGGCTATTCACACAATTAACCAACAAAAAGTATATATTCAAAAATGCAAAATTTATGCAATTTTGATCTGATACTTTGGAATAGACCTATATAAAAACTTCAAACTAGTTCTTCATCACAAAAATGTGATTAAAATCAAGCATCTGAAGCAAGTTTGAGAATTTTCAACCCTTGCGTCATTTGGACAAGTTTGGTTTATATAAGCCTAATAGTTTCTTGGTAATGGAACTGGACCCATAACTTTTACCTTGTGCATTATCTGGAAAATGTATGTTGAATTCAGCATCCAAAGCAAATCCATTGGTGTGCATCCTAAGATGTATCATCTATGCAAGTTTGCACAACATAAGCTAAAAATTACTTAGAAATGAAACTTACATATTAAAAATTTAACCTCTTGAAGCAAGCCTGGTAGAATGCAACCTTAGATGTAACATAAATGCAAAATTGGTCATTAAAGAGCTCATAGTTTCTTGGAAATGAACACTGCATCAAAAACTTTAAGCTGTTTACTCATCCAGAAAATGTAGGTCAGATTCAGCATCCGAAGGAAGTCTGGTAGTATGCATCCTAAGATGTATCACCCATGCAAGTTTAGTCATTATAATGCTCATTGTAACTTGGAAATGAAACCTGCACCAAAAACTTTAACCCGTTCACTCAACCGGATAATGTAGGTGAGATTCAGCATCCGAAGCACGTCTAGTAGTATGCATCCTAAGATGTACCATCCATGCAAGTTTGGTCAACATAGGGCTAATAGTATCTTGGAAATGAGACCTGCACCAAAAACTTTAACCTGTTCACTCAACTGTAAAATGTAGGTCAGATTCAGCATCCGAAGCAAGCCTGGTAATGTGCATCCTTAGATGTATCATCCATGCAAGTTTGGTCAACATAGGGCTTATAGTTACTTGGAGATGAGACCTGCACCAAAAACATTAACCTGTTCACTCAACCTGAAAATCATTAATGTATGTCAGATTCAGCATAAGAAGCAAGCCTGGTTATGTACATCCTTAGATGTATCATCCATGCGAGTTTGGTCAACATAGGGCTTATAATTACTTGGAAATGAGACCTTCACCAAAAACATTAACCTGTTCACTCAACAGGAAAATGTAGGTCAGATTCAGCATCCGAAGCAAGCCTGGTAATGTGCATCCTTAGATGTATCATCTGTGCAAGTTTGGTCAACATAGGGCTTATAGTTCCTTTGAAATGAGCCCTACACCAAAAACTGCACCAAAAATGTTAACCTGCTCCAAAAACATTAACCTGGTCATTCCTTTGCTGAAATTGCAGCATCTGAAACTTTTACTGGTACAATGAAACACTCTAGAAGCATCCTCCATGCATGTCTAATCAATATAGGACACAGAAGTACTTAAAAAGAAAACTGCTCCAAAAAACTTAACCTTAACCTGGGACGCCGACGCCGAGGGTATTACATAAGCTCCCCCAACTTCGGTGAGGTGAGCTAAAAATGGAATTCAATTAAGCACACTGTCAATTAGTTTTAATGAATTTGTAATTCATTAAAACAAGTTTAATATTTCCTTATAACCTTGGTGACCTAAAAATCAAACTTCACAGTCTGTTCCAGCCATCTGCTCCCTTCATTCTTCTCCATTGCACAGAAAAAAACCCAATGTTAAGACATTAATGGTATTGCTTTACTTAGCGACAGATTACATCTACAACATATACAATAATAAAACAATATATCACAAGCCGGATTGCACTATAAGTATGGAATTGGTGTCTGAATTGATCAGTCCTTCGGTTCTTTTTTACCCGTGTGTGTGTTTGCCACCTCTTTGATGGAGTTGAGTGTCTTTGTGAACCAGGTGTTTTTGGATGCCTGGATTTCACTCACAGCCGCATTTAAAGAATGTGTAAGATCCTGTGTTTTACATTCAGACTCCACCAGAGCTAGCTTGGTCTGAGCTAGCTCGAGCTCCAGCTCACGAATCTGTTGTTGTAAGTCCACAATCTTGGGGTTCAATTTCTCTGGGTCCATTTTTGGTTCGGGTAAATTCACTTTTCCATCAGCGTCAAACATTTTAGAACAGGTTTCACAGGACTTCACTAGTGACTGGAAAGAAATCATTTTTTTTCCTTAAAATGGGAAGAGATAATGAAAATATAACACACTATGATAACAAAAGAGAAGATAATTCTGAATCATTAATGTAACAAACTAAATTTTGGCAAAAGAATTTAAACCTCATTGAAACATTACAAAAATAATGAAGTAGTATGTAATGCTGAAAAAGTAGTATTAAAAAATATATATCTTAATAATATTTGAAATACAGTAAAACTCGGCTACAGCGAAGTTCTAGGGACCTGTGAATTTAATTCGCTATATCCGTAATTCGTTATATCCGTATAACGAATTCGTATAAACATATGTTTTCCTTCAAGTATTACTACCAAATATGTTAGGGAAGCAAATATTACAAAACATACCATCGATAACTAAGGTTTTATTATAAATTGAATTTTATATGCCCGGTACAAATGCTACAAGAAAATAAAGTCACTTCAATTTAGCAAATTTTAAGATCTTTGAAAGTTCGTTATAAAAGATGTAAATTTCATTCTATTTAACCTCATTGGGACTCAAAATGAGTTCGCTATATCCGTAAATTCCCTATATCAGAGTTCGTTATAACCGTAAAATTTTACAAAGATTTGTTAAGAATTTTGCCGAGGACCCAGAAAAACTTCGCTATATCCGTGAATTCGCTATATCCGTATTCGTACTAAACGAGTTTTACTGTATAGTTAATAAAATATAAAATTTTGAAAATTATGAACTATAACAGTAAAACTTGTTCATAAGGTAGTCACTAGGACCTCAGATAACCCTTCTCTATATTCAAACAAAGAACACTGAAAAGTCTTCTACAGGATTCAACAAGAATTCCTTTAAGAAAGTTCCTCATAACCAAGTTTTCCTGTACACATAATATACACAGGGGTAACATATTTTTAAAATCATGTAAGGGTATAATCTATGCTAAATAAAATGTTGGTCTGTAACTTTGAAAACCATGCCAAATAATAAAATTCTTTTAGTCAAATGATACGGTGAGCAGATTCTGCAAACTGTAGAATTTTAAAAATCTCAGTTGAAAAAAAAAAGTGAAAAATATGGTTTTTATCAAAAAAAGGTGTCAGATGAAGAAAAGGTCTGTTTTCCAAATAAATTAAAAAGAACAGTCTCTTTAACTAACTGCCTCATGCTATGCAAAATGTCTTAAAATGCATGTCAAATCAAAGAAAATTTTCTTCAGACATTCATGGTTTAAAATACATCAACCATATTTTTGATTTTCAAATGTATAAATACAGAGAAACAGTCCTTTAACTAAAAAGTATAAACCTAAATAATGAGATATGTGGTCTTACGTATCACTAAAAACCTGGAATTTTCAATGTTGATCAACAAATTAGTAGAAAGATCAAAATAATTTACATGTAAAAGTTCCCATACATCAAGTTAGATTGACCATGTTTTAAATGTGACCTTGACCCCTTATAACTCTAACCTTGATCCTGGAGAGTTCCTCTCGGTGGGCTGTCTGTTGCTTTTCCAGCCTCTCACTCAGCTGGGTGCATATCTACAAAACAAAATAAACCACCCTACTGTATATTATTCATACAAAAAAGATTGAAACATTCAAAACCCAGATAACTGTCTCATCAGATCGTAAATAGAAGGTGCACACTTTGTAACGGAGACTCTGTGATGGTCTCCTTAATTTTTATTCAGTTTTAAGGTGGAATTGTTGATAAGAGATGGGAATCTCCAATATCATAAAAAGAATGGGGTGTCCAGGTTGTGCTCTATAAAAATTGAGTCAAAACTGAACTAATTTTGTGCATGTTGTCCCCTTTTTGAATCTCGATAGTTTAAGATGTTAAAGAGTAAAACAAAAAACTTTCATCCCATTCAACAAGAGGCTCATAGGCCACTCACATGATTAACTTCAGCCCTGCTGCTCTTCAACAGACCTTCCACCAGGTAATACCTATTGTGGCCCCATCCTACCCCCAGGGGTCATGATTTTAAGAATTTGTAATCCATACTATCCCAATAATGCTTCTACACATGTTTCTAATTTCCAGGTCAAAATGTTCTTGAGAAGACTTTTTTCTATATATTTCAATTTAAAACTCAACATCTCTCTTGCAGCCTGCCCTTCCTCTTGGGTTATGTTTTTAACAATTTAGTATCTACACTTCCCCAGGATGCATCCACATAAGTTTAAGCTTTCCTGGCCCAGACATTGTTGAGAAAAGATTTTTAAAAAAAAAATTTTTCTAAATAAAACTTGAGATTCCATTCTGGGGCTCCACCCTACCCCTGGGGGTCATGATTTTAACAATTTTAATCAACACTACCACAGGGTTCTTCAATGCAAGTTTCAGTTTTTCTGTGTGTTTTGAAAAGATTTTTTAAAAGACTCCACCCTATTTTTGCCTTTCTTGATTATTTCCCCTTTAAGTGGGCTTGGCCCTTCATTTTAACATGCTCTGTACCAACTTTGGTTAAAATTAGCCCAGTGATTCTTGAGAGGAAGTTGAAAATGTGAAAAGTTTACAGATGGATGGACAGATGAAAGACGGACAAGACAAGTGATCTGAAAGGCTCACTCAAGCTTTCAGCTCAGGTTAACTTGCAATATACAGTAAATCAACTAACTTATAATATACCTAGTTGACTCACTCTTTAAATGATAGGCAATTATGCACATCTCAAGTTAATTTCAAACTTCAACTTTTTGGGGGCAAAGAATATTTTTAGTATTTATTTGATAATTCTGATTTTTCAACTGTAAAAAATAGAATGATTAAGGGAAATTATTAGCCATATTGATGATTATTTGCTTAGCGGTTGAAAAGTTGTTTTTATATCGGAAATTTGAATAATAATAATATACCAATGTTTATTTGCATCAAGCAAAAGAACTTGTTCATCATTTGTCAAAACATCATGTGATAAACACTTAGGTGTTAAAGTTAATAAATATTTCAAAACAAGAGGTGCAGAAGCCATATTGCTCACCTGAGCACTGTGGCTAGGATAAAAGCAATAATCAGTTAAGCATTGGAAAGCTTAAATGCATTTGTGGTCCGAACCTACCTTTAAAAGTGGAAAGTGGAACTTAACCACGAAACGGCATGTACTTACCTTGGGCAAAGAGCAAAACTAAATAAATCAGTGAGTTTAAAATATTTGAGTTCCACTTTCCACTCAGCGGGCAGAGTTTTGACGCTGTTTACGGAGATAAATGAAAACAAAGACATACATGCCGTATATGGTTGTGTTGATAAATTATTGTAGAAGACAATAATAATAAAAAGTTTGCAAGTGCATTTCATCTGAAAGTGTAAATGAGTGCGTTTCTGATGAGGGGGGTACTGACTGTAATTCGGAGTTAGATACCTTGTGTTATGATTATACTATGGGTTAAAAATTTATTTCCGAAACAAGTGCCTCTGTTAGAATCCCCTGAATATGCCAAAAGGAGGCACTCTTTACAGAACTGTATGCTGTAAACCAAAGATCCTCACCTGTTTGTAGTCAGCCACTATGACTGTGTTCCTAGAATTCTCAGACTCCAGCCTGTCCAATTCCTTTCTACACATCTCCTTCACCTTAAATAACAAAGAAAATTAGGAATCATAGAAACATGCCTATAATTGTTCTCTCAATGAAAAGTCATGATCAAGAAAGCTGATGCAAATAAATAGCTCCAATTTTTAATTTTTTGTGACTAACCAATTTAGATTTTTCAACCAATTTCTATAATTCTGAGTTACTAGTAACGTTATTACAAATCACCATCAATTTTCACAGCAATGATTCAAAATCTCTAAATTATCTCCTCTGGAAAGGGGGCATGACCCTTAAGATCTTTGTACAAACAACTTCAACCAAAGATGCTTTGTGGCAAATTTGGTTGAAATTGGTTCAGTGGTTCTGGAGGAGAAGATGAAAATGTTAAGAGCTGAACTGACAATGGAAAAAAGAAAAGAAAACGAACGCTTGAACCTTGGCTAAGGTAAGCTAAAAAGTGCACAAGAAAAAGGAATAAATTGGATTTTCAAGACAAGTTTTTTAATTGCTTTGATTTGAGTACCTTGAGAACTAATAAAAAGTAGAAGTGGAAAATGATTTCATATTTAAAAAGTATGACAAAATAACATCAGCAATATGATAATATCGAGATAAAACAAGTCTACAAAGTGCCATAAAATGACCTGTTTTGTTCTTCTGTAACTGTGGTTGTTCACTTTGTTCAGACAGGGGAGTTATACAATTTAAAGTGACGTCTTACCTGTTGTGTCTCCACCTCCAGTCTCTGTTTCTCTTCTTGTGTGTCCTTCAAAAGTTTTTTACTTTTAGCCAAATCTGTCTTCATCTCTTTATTCTGGTCTTGCACCTGCAAAAATAATTCACACGAGAGAAAATATTAACTGATGTTTGTGAAAATACACTTGACAAAGCTTTCCTGATGCACATAATAATTAGCATTTAGAATTTACACATTTATGAAACAAGAGATTCAATACAATAAACATACAAAAATATAGTGTAATTAAATATTTAGTTATTTAAAGTCAAGGACTACAAAGATTTTCCATTTTAAAGTAAAGTGAATCTCAAATAAGTAAATCAAATAAATGTTTTATAAAGTAATTTGTTATTTTCATCATTACAATGTATTCTTCAGCATCAGAGACAAGGCTGCAATAGTATGCATGTATTAGAGCACCATGCAAGTTTTGTGCATGTAAGTGCAATCAGTAACTTAGGAATACACATTATTGAATCAAACCTTCCATTGGTCACTCATCCAGAAAATATAAATCAGAGTCAGCATCTCTAACATGCCTTGAAGTATGCACTCCAAGATGTTTCATCCATGCAGTTTAGTATAGGAAACTTTCAAGTATAATTACTTGGGGGTTGTGCTAGATTCTAATCTGTATAGCATCAAGTCAACTTCATGAATTGAAAAAAAAATGTGAAAAATGCATCCTAATTTTTTTTTTTTAATGTATTGCATTTAAACAATAAAATGCTTCCTTTGTTCTTTTAGTAAAGAAATTGACGTTGCAGCTTTTCCATGGTATATTCCTTTTGTGAAAGTGAGAACGATATCAAAAGGTAGCTGGTATAAGTCCTATGGCTCTGGAGCCAGATTTTTTCTGTAACTTAGAAATAAAATCCAGCCGTTACTGACCTCGTCCAGCTCACTCTTCAGTGTCAGTTTACTGTCCACGAGTTCGTGAGCCAGGTCATCATTCTCCTGCTCTAACCTCATGTTGTCCTCCACGAGCCGTTTGTTCTCTCTCTACAACAGAACAACACAGAGACTTCAAACTTTACTTCCTATGTAGCTTGTAACACGAGCTTCGATTGGTCACAGAGTCGGGTGTAAATTTCCATGCACCCAACTTGAGCTGGGGTAAATAAAACGTGATGTCACAATGCATACATTCTATATGATAACAAGAGGCCCACGGGCCTTATAGGTCACCTGAGTATCATGTAACAACTTTCCAGCGATTGTATTTGGTTCGTGTTTTAAGCCAAAAGCCATGAAATTCACAAATTTTGAAAGAGGCACCATTGCTTATCAAAGGGCAGATTCCAAAGCATTAATTTATTTTTAGTCAAAGTACCCCCTTGGTACCCTTGACCCAGCAGCCCTGAAATTATCTATTTTGAAAGAGGCCCCTTTCTTCATTATAAGGCCAGCATTTTTTTTTTTATGTTTAAGTTTAGTTATGAACATGAGAATAAAAAAGTCCCGAAGGAAAAGGAAATAAATTTTTTTGATAAATCAATTATTAACATTTGTACATTCTTTTTTTATGCTATCCTAATAGGCTCCTTACCACTGGACACATAATGCTTACAAATAGGAAAGCAGAACATTTAATTGCTTATTTCATCATCTGCCAGTTTGGGCCAGTTATATAAATTTTGTGATGTTGATCAAAATATATTTTAAAAAATCAATTCTTTAAAAGTCTTTCAATATATCTTCATTTTCTTAATATGTGTTAGGTGAATGTGTAGACATTGTTCTAAAATTTACTTGATGCCTAAAATTATAATTCCTACAGTGATTTAAGCAGTTCCGGATCGTAACGGGAAAAACACTCGGTAAATAATTTATGCAGGACTTGTGTTTGATTTCTACATTGAAATAAATAGTCCTTTATTTACTCTTTCAAGCCATATTAATATTTTGTTTAAAACGTTATACTTTATAGTCGAAGTTTTCCAATTAAAATACTGTAGATCACTTAATTTTCGCAACACCTTATTTTCGCGAAGTGTCCATTAACTCTTTATTAGCAAGACAAAATTTTCACGAATTGTGATTACTGCTCTATATTATCTTAAGAAATACTAATATACGCGTGTATGAAATTTTCGCGAGCAGACTGTCTTGCGTAATTACGCGAAAATTAAGTTCTCGCGAATAAAAAGTGATTTACAGTATGCTGGAGTTCAAGCAGTTTAGACGATTTCAAGTAGTTCCGGTTTTCGCCACCTATCGTTGTTATTTATAGTTGTAACAGCAGAGGTCGTCTCAAAATTCATTTTTAACGATCAGATCTTAAGTTAATAGGGACAATAATATTTTTTTTTCACTTTTTTAAGACCTGAGCTCGAAAATGGAATATCAATTATATCATATATAAAGAAGAAAAGATCATGTTTCAACAACTTTATTAACGATAAAATAAACTATCAAATATTTAAAAAAAATAATAATAAAAAAACAACAACTAATTTTGGTACAATAAAAATCAGAAAATTGCATTGAAAAAGACTAGAAAAAATCATCAAAATAAAAAATATAATTAATCAAAGAATTGTGTTCATTTCATACAAAAAACTAGAAATATGTCCATAGGACATAAATGCCCAACACATAATTCACCAGTTCACTTAACTGTATTTGAATTTAATGCACATGAAACTTTGCTTTAGATAGAGTGTGAAGAGAAAAGGTTAAACTTGAGTACATGTACTTTCAAAATAACTCAGTTTTATACACAATAGATGAGAAAGTTGAAGGCCATAGGGAAAGTCAGTTAAAAAAAAAAATTGCACAATTCTTAAATCGATAAATTCTTACCATTTGAAATTATGTATAAGTTACAAAAATATCTTGAACAGTTTTTTTGGTTTGAAAGTTAGCAAGCTGCAAATTTGAGAAAAGTGAGGTCAAGGTAAAAACAAATCTTTACGCAGTTGAATACCTCTCACTATATGTGTCAGCAAATGAAGTTTGATAAAAATATCTTGAAAATTTCTTTGAAACTGAGCTTAACACAAAGTCTCACAGATTGACAGACAGAAGGACGGATGACGGACATGACAAACACTATACATGTTATGTGTAATATACATTATTAACCTCTGCAAAAAATTCTCCAGTTTAATCCAGAATTGTCTAAAAAGAATTTGATAAACCTTTCGACACATGACCTATCAGAAGGCCTGCTACATATTTTAGCGGCAACACTTTTTTGGGGTCATTGGTGGTTTCATAATTAAAGTTCTTGCTTTCTTATGATTTCGGACATTTTCTTCTTCTTTCTTCCCATGACTACTTTTAGTTTCTTTGGACTCAGTGGTATATTAGATATATAGCAAACGCTGAAAAAAAAATAAATACACTCTACATTGTATAATATTTAATGAGATTATTCATTCTTTACAGTTTCTCCATTCAATTTTATTAATTTGTTTACATGTATTTTCTTCTAAGGATCTTTGAATTTGTAGTATCTTCTGTAAACAGCATGTGTGTGAGAGAGAGAGAGAGAGAGAGAGAAGCTAGATGGGGAAGGGAGAAAGATGCTTAAAGCCATGACTTTGAAATTAATAATACTTCCTCACCTTTTCAAATCAACATAATTTATCATAAAATTCTGAATGTAAAATGATTTCATGTTTCTGACTTTTTGTTTACGTTATTTTCTCTTGTTTGTTATACCAGCTCTCTTGAGACAACCCCGAATATGGTTAATTCGGAACTGCTTAAAATGGGATGTTGTGAATATTGCTCTTTATTTTGGATTTACGTCGTATTTTAACGAAACCGAAATTTCATGAGATAGAAGAAACATCAATGTTTCATTCAAATATCTTAAATGAAAAACATACCTTACCACAGTTTCAGAGCAACGTCTTTACTTTCAAGATAGCACGTGTTTAATGTCGGTCAACGTCACTTAAGCGCTTGCGGTTGTAAACAAAAAGCCTGGACACGGTAAAGAAAGATGGAGTTCTTGATCTGGCTATGTCATCCAGAGTATGGACAATACATAAAGCTTCATTTATGTAAAGAATCATTAGAAACAGAAACATTTATGTTTGCATAATTTTAATTATTTAATTAAAATTATTCGGAACTGCTTAAAATCCGGAACTGCTTAAAGCACTGTATCATAAAACAGACAGGAAGTATTGGGGAGTAGGGTCAACATTTTTTCAATTAAGTGTATAATAATTTTTCTGGCTGATACAAATGATACTACATGCCTGTATATATTTGTATATTCTTGCCTTTTAATAGTTGAATTTTTTTTTTATTTCTTCACTTCAGGTTATTGTTTATTTCTTCCTCAAATGGACTTCACTTCTCCCATAGTTTTATTCATTACATCTGATGCATAAGCAACCCCTTTCTGAAGAATGATGCTTAGACTGTAAGCTATAACAGAGACCTAAACAATGTCCCTGGCAATATGCAATAGCTACCACGGGCAGTTTAAAACCTGGGAGAGGAAAATAATTTACAGTTACTTTTGAAACGAATACATAATTATCTCACCCGCATGTCATTGTGCAACAAAGTCGTCAGCATTTTATTTGTCCTTTGAACGGGTGAAACGTTTTGAATGGCACTCTTATCGATGAATTTTACACTAAACCAAGCTAAAATCTTGGATCTAGCTTTATTTACCCGCCGTTTCAAATTAAAACCGGAAATGCGAGTTCATAAATTTGAAATCTCGATCCCGACTCGAATTTGACATCGGAAAGAAAAAAATTGTTTTTTTTTTCTAAAAATTCAAAACCTTGAGCGGGGGGTTTGTAAAACTGAAAATAAAATAAATCCTGGCCTTAGATATGTAATTAGATCATTAGCATATTAACCAAGAGCAAAGGATAAGATGTTCAAAGAATTCATGCATTTCACTATATAATCATTAGAGCCCCACCCTAAAACAAGAACCCCTGACCCTGGGGCCATAAAATTCACAATTTTGGTAGAGGCACTCTTGCTTATCATAACTATGTACTTAGTTTATTCAATACCCAGGAGCAGAGAACAAGATTTTCAAAGAATTCATGTATTTTCACTATATAATCAATAGAGCCACACCCTAACACCAGAACCCCTGTCCCTGGGGCCATAAAATTCACAATTTTGGTAGAGGCACTCTTGCTCATCATAACTATGTACTTAGTTGGTTTATTTAATACCCAGGTGCAGAGAAGAAGATTTTCAAAGAAATAATGCATTTTCACTACCTACTTATTTAGCCCCGCCCTAGCACTAGAACCCATGACCCCAGGGCCATGAATTTCACAATTTTGGTAGAGGACTCATTGCTGATTACAATCATGCAAACAGTTTGACTGCTTGATGTCCAGGAGTAAAGAAGAAGATTTTTAAAGATTGCATTAATTTTAGTGGTTTTGGCCCCACCCCTCAGGCCCCAGGGGGGCAGGGATCATGAAATTCACAATTTTTGTTCCCCTTCACCCATAGATGCTTTGTACCAAATTTGGTTTAAATTGGTTCAGTGGTTGCAGAGAAAAAGCTAAAAATGTTCAAATGTTAACGAACGACGAACGACGCACGACGACGGACGAAAACAGATAGCAATAGGTCACCTGAGTTTACTCAGGTGACCTAAAAAAAAGCAAATAACATGATGTCGCAATGCAATGATGTATGTAGTTATCTTATCTATAGATTGAGACACAGTTGATCAGACTGATGTTTACAAAGAATTTTTATGGTACATAGGAAATAAATTCGTTATCCACGTCCAATCAAGGGTGTAAGGGGATTTACCTCAGGGTGTATGAAATAAAACCCATGGTAGATCCCCGTACACCCTTGATTGAACCTGGATAAACAATAATTTACTCTGTTTTTACCCATAAAGAATTATAACTCAAGTGCATCATAACAAGGATAACATACTGTAGTTTACTTGGGTTTTTCTAGTCTCACACTTCCTTATAAATCCTATCCTGCTGTTATTTTTCTTTTATTTTTTTAACTAGTTTTTTAATTATAATGACAAAAAACCCTCAGTAAAGGGGTAGTCATCAGCTCCATTTTTAAATAACATGTCTGTTTGTCTGTCTGTACTTACCTCCATTCTCTCTATAGGGTCCTCTTGTTGCATCTCCTGTTCCTTCATGGTGATATACTCTTTCTCATACTTCTTCAGCTTCTTACTGGTAACCTTTAGAAATCAAGTGGTAAATTTAATACATGTATCTACATTTGAAAATATACCAAACAAAAACCCCAAAGAAACTGTGAACAGCTTGATCTAAGGCACATGGGGCATGAACCCTTCCTTTTGATCTTGACATACTTTCAAGTTTTTATGATCAAGTAACAATCTACACTGGAGCCTCATTTATCCGGATGCTTTGGTTCCCAGCCAATCGTCCGGATATTTGAAGCATCCGGATATCTGAATCACCAGTTAAACAAGACAAAATAACATTAAAGAATTCCGTTCCCATGAAAAATCATCCAGATACTGAAGCATCCGGATATCTGGCGTCTGGATATCTGAAGGTCCACTGTACTCCCAAAATTCTGCAAGATATGATTCCAGCAAGAAATAATGTTGCACAGCTGTAGAATTTAAAAAGTGACCTCAGTGTGGCCTTTTAATAGGACATTGCACACACAACCCCCCCCCCCCCCCCAAAAAAAAAATAAAATGAACTGACAAGGATTGATAATATAAAGCCTAGCCTGTACAAAAATAATGTTCCAGACACAATTTTCAGTACATAGCGTTAAAATTTATAATAAGGTTATCCAAATCTATTTTCAACCCCCCCCCCTTTTAAGCATTAGCTGTAGGGCAGTTTTATCAGAGCGTGAGGCCTGTGATGCTCAGGAAATTGTCAAAGTCCATGAAATGACTTTATTCATCCTTTGTTCAACATGTTTATTTACCTCTTCTAAAAAAAGGAAATGGTCCTTTAATTTCAACAAACCAGAATCCAAATGACACAAGAATGCTTAGTGACAGTAACAATCTGCCCTTCTGATTACCTTGGCATTGACAGCGGCTGCCATGAGCTCCCTCGCTGCTTCCTCTGTCCTGTACTTTTTGGGCATGTGAACCCTGAAGTATTTCAAAATGCCTTCAAAGTCTAATGCCAGCAAATCTTTTCTGGACATCTGAAAAAAAAAAAAATGTGTTGCATTTCATGGATTGTGAGGACAATATTCATTTCAAGCAAAGGACTGAAAAAAAATTATTTGAATCAATCCAGATTTTTCTAGAAATTTTGAATCAAATTGTGTGTAATTCAAGTGTAATACAGAAAATCCAAAAACATTTTCTGCATCTTGACTTTAATGTCCTCATCCTTATCAACCCCCCTTCCTTTTACAGGAAATTTATTTTAACTTGTATCAGAACTTTCAATATTTTAGTAAGCATTTCAATATCATTCACCGAAATCAAAATCTGATAACAGAATTGCAGCAAGTGTTATTGTAATACAGTGTTTGATAAAAACCGTAGCAGTAGTAGCATTTTGAAAAGATTTTCACAGAAATTCCTAGATTAGAGAATACTTATTAAGTGAATCAATTGACTTAAAACCTTAGAAGGTGTGAAAACTGGACTTAAAACATATGTGTCTCTCACTAGTGTTGACATTTTGATTCTGGTATTCATTTATAGAATACCACCTACAGAACCTTTTGAATACCAGGTGGTGATTATTGAAATTTACACCCACGGATGTTAGTCCTTGGCATTTGTTACATAAAAGTCATCAAATTGAATATTAAAAGAAACTGCAATTTATAACTTATTTACATCAGAAAAAATATTTTTTTGCTAATCAGTGACAACAACTGAGCAAAAATCTGATTTTTAGAAAATTAAATTAACACAAATATTTAATATCGTCATCCTTCTGAATTATACAGATAATCTGATTGGTTTAGAGCCATTCATGTGCAGGGAGACAACTGGTGATGTCTTGTACAGTAGGTAGAGACAACTCGTGATGTCTATATCACGCACAGGGTGACAAATTGCTATCACCTTCAATGAGGACAAGTAAGAGCAAGTGAGATAACTCTGATTTAAATATGGTTTTTATTTGTTATTTAATGAGACATCGTCTCAAGCCACGGTCCGCAGTCCGCATATATAGCTCTCTCCTACCCATGGCTGCTTGAGCACAAAAAGTGTCGTAATCTTTAATATTTACGCCTCTCTATTGTGACGTCATATTCAGTCAGTGGCAAGTTTTGTTTCCATCGCAATCGAAATCAACAACTGACGTCAACAGTATACAAGAAATATTTTCTATACTGCGATTGGATATTGAAAGGTCGCGATAAAGTTCATCATCCGACTATGCTTTACTCGCATTGGTCAATATTTTAATGAGCTACGAAGAATTCTCTCCTCGTTCAACCACGGCCAGATGGGAGAGGAGCGTACATTTTGGCCGTGGTTTGCGACGATGTTAATGAGAAGGCTCGGTAAATACTGAATTCACAAAAGTGTCTGTTAATTTGGTGCAAGAGGAATATAAGCAGTTTACATAAAATGACACAGAAATTCAAAGCATTTTGAATGATAAAGCTTCAGCCAACATGAAATGAGAGATGAAGGCAGCTTTAACTGTCCTTATTCAGTATTTGGTGAAAAACAACAAGTCTACAAACCCCGACTCCTTTTCATGGAAAGGATTAGCAGACATTTTATGCAGATGCAAATGATAAAGCTTCAGCCAACATGAAATGAGAGATGAAGGCAGCATTAACTGTCCTTATTCAGTATTTGGTGAAAAACAACAAGTCTACAAATCCTGACTCCTTTCAAAGAAAGGATTAGCAGACATTTTAAGCAGATGCACATTTATATAATATATCAAAAGCTGTGTGGTTAAATTCAACAGAAACCACAAATAAGATTTTAAATAATTCAATAGTTTGTTACAGTTTATTAGATTCAATAACTTTCTGAAAATGCCATTTTCTTTCCTTCTTTAAGATTCTTCAGGAAAATAAAACTATCACGAACTGTTTAGAAATGAGACGTCACCAATTATCAGCTCGGAGTAGGGTTGTCATCCTCGGGTGAGAGTGTCCTCTGGTGACTCAGACCTGATAATTGGTGTCTTCCTTCTAAACAGTTCATAATTGTATAATTTTATGACTTTGACTTGAAATAAAACATAATGACATCATAAAGTCTTTTGTTACTTAGAAACATGTTATCAAATATTTGAAGTTAATATATGATACTCTACTTACAATAATCTTTCACAAATATTAAAAACATGATTCCCGTGAGTCATGGTTCACGTGAAAAATCTTACTTAGTCTTGTTCACGAAAATACAGTTTAAAGATTTTTCCTATTTATTCCTAGGTAAAACTTGGATCCCCAATTATGGCCACACCCTCTTCTCAGTGCATTGTATTTACTACACTATGTGATAACGGTATTTATCCCATGTTTACCCCTTTATCCTGTGGATATTGCTCATGCGATATCGTTTTCGTATCCCACAACTGTGACATCACAATGGGTTTTGCATTAACGTAATGAAGTAAAATAAAGTGGAGTCCTATATAAACATAGGTAATCAGAGATTACAGAGCTCACCTCAACAAATGTTGTCTTTAAGTAAGGCAAAGTCACACAATTACCCAACAAAAAGTGTACATCCAAAAATGAAATTATTTATGCAATTCTGATCTGATACTACTTTGGAATAGACCTATATAAAAACTTCAAACTAGTTCTTCATCACGAAAATGTGATCAAAATCCAGCATCTGAAGCAAGTTTAAGAGTTTTCATCCCTTGATGCATCATTTGGGCAAGTTTCAAATTGGTTTATTAAAACCTTATAGTTTCTTGGTGATAGACCTGCACCCATAGCTTTTACGTGGTCCATTATCTGGAAAATGTATATCGAATTCAGCATCCGTAGCAAGTCCATTAGTATGCATCCTAAGATGTATCATCCATGTGAGTTTGCACAACATAGGGCTAATAGTTACTTAGAAATGAAACCTGCATAAAAATTTCACCTCTTAACTCATCCAGAAAAAAATGTAGGTCAGATTCAGCATCTGAAGCCAGCCTGGTAGAATGCAACCTTAGATGTATCATCCATGCAAGTTTGGTCATTAAAGAGCTCATAGTTACTTGGAAATGAACCCTGCATCAAAAACTTTAACCTGTTCACTCATCCAGACAAGAGGCCCATGGGCCTTATAGGTCACCTGAGCATTATGCAACAACATTCCAGTGATTGAATTTGATTCATGTTTTAAGCCAGATGCTATGGCATTCACAATTTTGAAAGAGGCACCATTGATCATCATAATTATACACTTAGCAGTTGCTTAGTTTGGTTACTTAATACACATAGGCAGGGTAGGGGAACAAAAAATACATTTCAACTAATCAGTAATATTCAGCTATAATCAGTAGTGCCCCTACCACACATGAACCCCTGACCCTTAGGCCTAGATCCACACATTGCACAATTTTTGAAAATGCATCCTTGCTTTTCAAAAATATTTGATTAATACCAAGGAGCAGATTTCAAACCATTCTTTTTTAGTATATAAGTACAGCCCCCCCCCATGGTTCCCCTGACCCTGAGGCCTTGAAATTCACAATTCTTAAGGCCCTTGCTCATCATATCTATATAGGTAGTTCATCTGCTTAATACCCAGGAGCAGAGAAGAAGATTTTCAAAGATTTTATATATTTTCCCTATATAATCAATAGAGCCCAGCCTTAACACCAGAACCCCTGACTCTGGGGCCATAAAATTCACAATTTTGGTAAAGGCACTCTTGCTCATCATAACTTTGCACTTAGTTTATTTAATACCTAGGAGCAGAGAAGAAGATTTTCAAAGAATTCATGTATTTTCACTATATAATCAATAGAGCCCTGCCTTAACACCAGAACCCCTGACCCTGGGGCCATAAAATTCACAATTTTGGTAAAGGCACTCTTGCTCATCATAACTTTGCACTTAGTTAGTTTATTTAATACCTAGGAGCAGAGAAGAAGATTTTCAAAGAATCCATGTATTTTCACTATATAATCAATAGAGCCCCACCCTAACACCAGAACCCCTGACCCTGGGGCCTTGAAATTCACAATTTTGGTAAAGGCACTCTTGCTCATCATAACTATGCACTTAGTTAGTTTATTTAATACCTAGGAGCAGAGAAGAAGATTTTCAAAGAATTCATGTATTTTCACTATATAATCAATAGAGCCCCACCCTAACACCAGAACCCCTGACCCTGGGGCCATAAAATTCACAATTTTGGTAGAGGCACTCTTGCTCATCATAACTATGCACTTAGTTAGTTTATTTAATACCTAGGAGCAGAGAAGAAGATTTTCAAAGAATTCATGTATTTTCACTATATAATCAATAGAGCCCCGCCCTAACACCAGAACCCCTAACCCTGGGGCCTTGAAATTCACAATTTTGGTAAAGGCACTCTTGCTCATCATAACTATGCACTTAGTTAGTTTATTTAATACCTAGGAGCAGAGAAGAAGATTTTCAAAGAATTCATGTATTTTCACTATATAAACTTTAGAGCCACCGCCCTAACTCCAGAACCCCTGACCCTGGGGCCATAAAATTCACAATTTTGGTAAAGGCACTCTTGCTCATCATAACTTTGCACTTAGTAAGTTTATTTAATGCCCAGGAGCAAAGAAGATTTTCAAAGAAATAATGCTTTTTCACTATATACTTTTTTAGCCCCGCCCTAGCACTAGAACCCCTGATCCCAGGGCCATGAATTTAACAATTTTGGTAGAGGACTCAATGCTGATTACAATCATGCAAACATTTTGACTGCTTGATGTCCAGGAGTAAAGAAGAAGATTTTTAAAGATTGCATTAATTTGAGTGGTTTTGGCCCCACCCCTAAGGCCCCAGGGGGGTGGGGACCATAAAATTCACAATTTTTGTTCCCCTTCACCCATAGATGCTGTATACTAAATTTGGTTGAAATTGGTTCAGTGGTTTCAGAGAAGAAGCTGAAAATGTTCAAATGTTAACACACGACGGACGACGCACGACGACGGATGAAAACGGATAGCAATAGGTCACCTGAGTTTACTCAGGGGTCACCTGAGTTTACTCAGGTGACCTAAAAATGTTGGTCAGATTCAGCATCCGAAGCAAGTCTGGTAGTATGCATCCTAAGATGTATCATCCATGCAAGTGAGGTCATTATAGGCTCATTGTATCTTGGAAATGAAACCTGCCCCAAAAACTTTAACCTGTTCACTCATCCAGAAAATGTAGGTCAAATTCAGCATCCGAAGCAAGTCTGGTAGTATGCATCCTAAGATGTATCATCCATGCAAGTTTGGTCAACATAGGACTTATAGTTCCTTGGAAATGAGACCTGCACCAAAAACATTAACCTGTTCACTCAACCGGAAAATGTATGTCAGATTCAGCATCCGAAGCAAGTCTGGTAATGTACATCCTTAGATGTATCATCAATGCAAGTTTGGTCAACATAAGACTTCTAGTTACTAGGAAATGAGACCTGCACCAAAAACATTAACCTGTTCACTCAACCGGAAAATGTAGGTCAGATTCAGCATCCGAAGCAAGTCTGGTAGTGTACATCCTTAGATGTACCATCCATGCAAGTTTGGTCAACATAGGGCTTATATTTCCTTGGAAATGAGACCTACACCAAAAACTGCACCAAAATTGTTAATCTGCTCCAAAAACATTAACCTGTCATTCCTTTGCTGAAATTGCAGCATCTGAAACTTTGACTTGTACAATGAAACACATTAGATGCATCTTCCATGCATGTCTAATCAATATAGGACATAGAAGTACTTAAAAAGAAAACTGCTCCAAAAAACTTAACCTTAACCTGGGACACCGACACCGACGCCAAGGGTATTACATAAGCTCCCCCACCTTCGTTGAGGTGAGCTAAAAACAGTGTAAAACATTGATTGTGGTGTATAAACAAAATGTAAAACATGGGATAAAAAAAAAACTCACATGATTTGTAGTTGGATATAATTTTTATCCAACTTGGTGTGTGTTTTTATCCCCTCGCCAAGGCTCAGGATATAAAACACACAACTCGTTGGATAAACATCATATCCAACTACAAAACATGTGAGATCCTATATATATCAGTTTTACCTATTTTCAACAGATTAGTGATATTTTAAAACTGTTGGATACTTCTAATGTAAAATCACTTTAAACATTACCAAAATTGTCCAGAAAACTTCTCAAAATAAATTCAAAATCTGGAACAAAAGACATCCTAGTCAGACATAAAGTACAGTATTAAACTTCATTACCCTTTTCTGTGCCTTAAAGATTTTCTTACCTTTAACAAAGCCATTGCAACATTGAAAATGATATCCTTTCCCTGAAAATGGAGGAAAAAAAAATTAGTATTAACTAAAATTCTTGACAAAGAAATAAGATTTCTTAAGAATTAGACATTGATAGGAGTCCTACCTCACACAGGAAAAGATCTAGAATGTGAAAGACTAGAAACAGTGGGAATTTGGCGGTGAAGAGGGTGAGGAACCACTGGGAGGCAAACATGTGGATCTCCAGCCCCATCTCCGTAAAGTGTTCAAACAGGTCACTCATCAGGTCCTGTCAACAGAAACATCACTAAGATATAAAGACAGGACAACATTGGGAGACAAGGCTCACCTGAGTTACTTCAGATTTAAAGACAAGCAACCCATGGGACTGAGTGGTCACTTGAGTTACTTTACCCCCTTCTCCTCATCATATTTTTAGAAGCCAGCTCTATCCAAGGTCAATAATTTTGAAGAAATGCTGTAATCTTGAGTTCATTATCAACGGGTTTGCTATATCTGCAGCTGACTTTATAAGAATACAGTTAAACTGAAAGCAAGCACCTTGGTGAAACCATTTTTCTATACAGGAAATTAAATGCTATTTAACCTTTTCCTTTAAAAATACATACACTTAAAGTATGTTTACAACATGTATACACGTACCTGCATTAACCGCTCCAATTGGTAAAACTTCAAATGCAGCACTTCAAATCCTTGTTTGAATAAATCTCTCAATTCATAATCAAAACAAATCTTCACAAGCACTGCAAATGCCTGTTCCTCTGGCATCTATAATTACAATATAAAACCAAAATACATTTGCACATAACTCTTGCTGACTCTAAGTCTTTCCAACAAACAATTTTTTTTATTCTGCTTGAAAAAGTAAACTTATTCTTTATCTAAAAATTCATTTATGTGAATCATCCATCTGAGGAATTTGACTTTACTTACATGGAGTAAGAGAGCAGCTGATAAGAAAGACAACCCCTGTACATATCCTATCTCCTCGTCATACACTGAGTAGGCCTTACAGATTCTGTACAGGGAATCCTGACCCAGCCCCCCGGACTGCTTAAAGAATGTGTGGGCGGGGAATGTCCTGTTGATGTCCCTCTGGATCACCCCCTCGGTCGGAGAATCCTGTAATATAAAACTGGCTACTGGAGTAAAGTTAGCTTTCTAGTTAACTATACACTGTTTGATACAATGTCAGTAACCAATAAGATGGTATTTTTATGTTTTTAAGTTCAATGATATTTCAATTTATTAAGAAAATTTCCATAAAATTAATGAAAATTAAACTTGCATGCAAATGGATTTTAAAAGAAAACAAAAGGACTATCTGCAGGTTTCTGTCAGTAAGATATGCATACATCATTTCAAATTCTTCAACATTTATCAAATTTTGAAGAGAATCTAGTTTTTATTTTAATTTTTTTCATTTATAAACACATTTTGAAAATATTCTTTGACTGGGAATGAACAATTTTTTTGAATTTTTTTTTTTACACTCATATAGTCTGAAGTTTTACTTTTCTCCAACACTTACCTTTGTGATGAGGATTCTGTATGCTTCCATCAGTTCAGAATTGTCATGACAACCAGCCAGCAGTTGCCACACTTCCCCTCTGAGGGCCTCTGGAATGCCTTTCCTTGCCAGCTGCTGCACTTGTTTGGGCCTCTGAGACAGGTTCTGTTGCCACTTGACCAGGACATCATGCCAAGCTTCCAGTAAATTGTCATCCATGACCTCCTTACTGACCATGCCAGATCCACTCAGCAGAGGCTCATCTCCATCTGAAAGTATTACAATACCACTGTCATTTTTTACTTTGTAAAAATAATGAAAGGCAACAAAGTGTGAATTTCAACACAAAATAAAAATATGATGCATCTTGTCTGGTCTCTTAATCAAGTCAAAAGATTTTAAATTTAAGCTCATTGAAGACTTGATTCACAAATATTACCATGTTCCATCTTTAGTCCTAATCTTTATATCTTTTATATATATTTTTTTTGTTCAGTCACTGTAAAATACAGGTATGGCACAGCTGTTACCCTACACAATTAAAACCCAGGAAGGAGTCTTTTTGTATTGACAAACTACTTTGATACAGTGTATCACACTCATCCAAAAATAAATTCAGTAACACTCTACTTGACTTATCCTCCGAGTCCTAATGTGTGTGGGTGTGTTATACCTCAAGGTCTTAAGGTTTGTACAGTAAAACACGCTTATAGCAAACAGGCTTATAATGAAATGACGCTTGTAATGAACTGATTTTCATTCTCCGGGACTTGAAATATGTTTAAAATTTAAGGGATATAACAAATTATGCTAATAATGAAGCAAATTCAACAATCCCTGGCACATCATAATAAGTGTGTTCTACTGTAAATATATGACATACCTGACTCTTCCTCTGGCTCCTGGGGTGAATGGACCCCCTCTGACATTTGCCTGTTGTGTTTGAGACCCTGCAGACTCATCCCAGCCTTCTGTCTGTCTATCTGTGTCTGACTCTGGACCTCTACCACTTCATATTGCACAACATCAGGAGCATCAGTCTCAGTCTGAAACACAAGCCACATAAATACAAATTTACATACAGCTAAAATGCCTTAAAAAGAAATATATATGTATTAATATCTTTATCTATGAAAATTCATTAAGCCATAGAGCACCTTCTTTTTAGCTTTGTTCTTATTATATCTAGGAAAACAGAACATAACTCGAGTTACCCAAGTCTACTTATCAATACATTTAATTCTTTAATAAATTAATACATAAATATTTTTCCCAATTATCTGAGAATTTCCAGCTGTCACCAACTTCCTCTGTATCACTGAGCCCACCATGACAGACATACATCCTCCAGGATAAACAATAAAGAATCTACAGGAAATCCTACACAAACACACCTTTATTTTTTTTTTATGCACTTAAAAATCATTCCTTGTTCCCCTACACACAAAAACACCTTAATTTTATTTATGCACTTAAAAATCATTCCTTGTTCATCTTACTCTCAGTATTAACTTTCTGGTCAATCTGTTTTATATTTCAAATACATGTATCTACACCATGGGAATGTAAATATTATATTCATGTACTAGATGAAAAATTGTTTGAAGATACAAACATCTTTACCTACAAAAAAATCTTACTATCAAAATAAAACAAATTACTTGTGTAACATTATGAACTAACTATAGAGCATAGATCTATATACCAGTACATTGATATTTAATTTTATCATACCAGTACATTGATATTTAATTTTATCATTCAATGTTTTCAATCATTTATTGTTTTCAATACAGACAATTTTACTTTTGTGGTTAACCGTAATGAGATTTGATTAACCAGTCGTTCACCTCTCTATCACACAGAATATTCCCTCTGTCCTGACAGTTATAAGATGACAATAATAACAACTATATAGCACAACCTGCACTTACTGAACATTATACGATTAACAGGGTATTATTTCAGCTCGGAATAATTATTTCATTCGGAATTTAAAGAATTAAAAAAAATAAGCTACTAAGTCTCCTTACATGTATTTTTAGCTCAGTAGAAAAAAATGTTGCCTTAGATCTCTGCATATTTTGTGAGTATTTGGGTAAAGATTTAAAATTTGTTTATAAACTCATTAAATAAGTTATTCTATTTTCTGTTAATTATTTCTTCTTATCTGTTTATTTGTTTGTTATTTGTTTGTTTATTTATTGTTGTGTTTGTTTATTTATTGGTGTAAACAAGTTTGCATGTACTGGCAGGGGTTAGATGAATTTTTTACTGGGTTAGTTGGCGCATGCCCAAAGGGGTTAGTCGCCGCCGGGTGTCGACTAACCCCTTTGGGCATGCGCCAGTTGCGTTAGTTAAAAATCCTGTAGTACATGTAAATCCATATTCAATGTGTATTCGGTCTGTATTGTTAATCAGTCCACGCGATGTACGTAATAAACGGTAATTAACACTGTAGAAGTGTTATTTACTGTCACGATGCGCTTAAATCCTAAGTATTTCATTCCAAGTATCCATGAATGAAGACTAGACCCGGATCCCTACACCATGTGCATGTGCACATGCCGATCTCCCGAAGAAAATAAATCACGGAGCAAGAGAACGAAAATACATACCAATGCATATTCATCACGATAACTGAAAACATATAGTCGTAAGAACGATTAAATCCAACAAATAGCCAGTGAAACGCGGCGATGTCAACACTGCCAATGCACTGCAAACAACTCCTGTTCGACGTCATTTTTCGAAGTACGACGTCACAGGTACACTGTTTTCCCGAACTTTCTCTCTGTATCAAAATGGCGTATAGGCATTGTACGTAATATAAGGTATTCTGTCAATAAGGTACATCATTTAAACATTATTTTTTTAGCTGAACGTTTTCCTTTACTTGGACAACCAAATATCACAAGAGGAAATGAAAATGAAAAGTGTTTAGTACAAAAAACGGGCTTTAAAAATTGCAAGATCCAGGATCCGCGCACTTGTTTCACCTCAGCTAAGAGGTGCAGTTTTAGTGTGCACATCTCAAGTTTTCGATCTATTGTGACGTAGGCATATCACTCGGGGACAGAATAAAGTGAAAAGCAGTATGTCTATAGATCTGCAAGAACATAATAAAGGCTAATAAGGCGTTGAAAATATTTCTTGTATCTTTCTTTTGTATTCATCATTCAAATAATATTTTGATAAAAGGAGGGGATGAGACAATTCTTTTTTTTCTCTCATAAATACTGCGTGGCATATAACCCCTACCTCCGTATTGACAGAAATATTTTTTTAATCAATTTTGTATTATTTAAATTTAATTTTATTTTTTGCCGACTTTGAAACAATTCATGTGGTGTGTGGGTGGGTGAGGGGGGGGGGGGCATATCGACGCTTACGGGAAGAAAAATTTAATGGATCAAGACAGCGTTTAAAATCTCGGACATTTTCAGGTAGAACACTGCGACTTTTCGGCAATAAAACAGGATTGAAGGCCCAGTCTATGAAAACTTTTAACCCTTTCGACGCCGAATAACGTTACGACTATAACGTCAAGGATGCCGTACTATGACGTCAACTAAGACGTAAAATAGTTGCGTCAGAAAAAAGCGTCAAATTGATAATGAAAAAGCACCTGTTTAACCAAGGTAAAAGGATGCAAGGAAAATGTTTATAAAAGAATCGTATTTATTCCAATAATTTTAACATCAGTACAATAAAGTAAGCAAACATTAATCCTATAGCTAGCAACTTTAGATAAAGAGACCCCAACACTTTTTTAAAATAATATTTATACTAAATGTTATTAATTTATAACCGCCGTATACGAGAAAACGGACCCTTATATAACCTGGTACTTTCTTAATGCAAATATGCATAACCAAATTACTTTTACATATATAATTTATCTCATTTTTCCAGTATTTGATGAGCATTTTAATAATTAAGACGCTTCAAAACAAAGTTGGTGTGACTCAATGATAATGTAATTTGTCTTTGCGGGTCTCGAACTCAGTACGTTTCTAAATATTACCAACATTTTTAAGTACAACTTTATTGTGTTGATACAATGCCTCCCCCCAAATACCATGAAAAAAGAGAGAAGTTCAGTCCGAAAATTAGGGCACCACGGGCCATCCCCTCGCAAAAAATCGATCCCGATATAACAGAAGAAATATAACTTTCATGTAAATGAACTCATGGTATATAAAGTTGGTTCTTCAGGGTTAAATCATAAAGAAAATCAAATCTTTTCTACTACCACGCGGAGAAACATCAAACACCAGGCTCATGCATTTACATCATGAATTATTGTTTTGAGAAAGTTTATTTCATATTTAAAAATCATTATTTATATTTATATTTATTGGGTTTTTTTTTTCAAGTAAATCAGACTGTATCAAAAGCAGTAATGATATGAATACTGCTGAACTGAGGGATAATGGATATTTATGTCATTTTCTTTTTTTTTTGGGGGGGGGGGGGGGGGGGGGTTAACACTTGGATACAACAATCGAACATCATCTCAAAAACGTTATATAAATTGGTTTCTGTAATATAGATTACAAATGTCGGAATGACTTGGCCATTCGCAATCATATTCCCAAATACAAATTTTCACCTGCTTGACAGAAAAATATATCCGAGAGTCACATGTCATGCTTTAGCATATGAGTTCGACTTCTAATCTTACGAAAAATTAAATTGTATCATTACGCATGGTTTGAAATAATGAACTTTCTAAATTCCTGAAATTAATCAAAACTCGTCAGATTTATCAATGATATGTCTATTTAACAATTGTCTGGATTCCAACTCAGATTTATGCATGAAAAGTTCTAAAATGAAAAAAATATATATAGTTTGATCAATGATAGGTGTATTGCAGTCATTTGACGAAATCTACATGTAGTGTACATGTATTTGATTAAGGAAACACTGTCTAGTTAGTATAATATGCCAGAACATCAACGATAATTGATGTCCCTGGCATACCACACTGTAAAAAAATAACTAGTTAAGGTCACGAAGAAAATTAGTAGATTCACTGTCCATACAATCACTACCTTAATAGTAGTTTTACCAGATATTGGTATATTTACTAGATAAGATTAGTAAATTTAGAATTGATGACTAAATTTCACTACGTATCTAAGTATCTACACGACTTCCGCTCCACAACTCACGAAAGTTTACTAATCACGACCAACGCTTTACGAAACACACTAGTTAAATTCACTAGGTTTTTCTTTCAGTGTTTACTAACTAGACAGTGATTCCTTATATTTCCATGTCATTGTGAAATAAAATTGTAGATTTAGATTTTAAAAAATGTAGATATGGATTTAAATTACATGAGGACTCCAATGCCAATTTCATTAGTCCTCGCCCACTGACGTCAAATACAAAGACAGCCGCACGAGATTTACATGCATATTTGGCCAACTTGGCTATTGACCTGCCTAATTTACATTCCGGTAGAATTATCAAAAAATAAACTCCACTAAATTTCAAAGAGTTATCACAGAGAAAAAAATTAGAAATGGAAATGTAATGGCATCAGCTTACCTGCAATCGCGGCTTTTCATAGTTAGGTAAATTGTGTTGAAATGTATTTATTTATATATGTCCAAAAGCTATAATCAAATAATTCGTATAGCACTAGTGTTAATAATTTTTTTTGTATGAGGCCATGCAGATAGGTATATCCTTTAATACTACGGCTCTAATTGGACTCTCTTCAAAAACATCTCGACCATTTTGTTAATACAATGTTACACTTTCTCGGAATCTCGAAGTTACAGAACATGACTTGTAATATTGCATGCTAGGCATTTTTTCTTTTGTTTGTTTAGCGCCCACACTAAAGTGAAAAAAATCTTTCTATCTGAATAAAAAACACATAATGAAATGGAAAAGCACAACATGAAGAATTTCTCATCATCATCTGGGAATATACATTGTATCAAATATAAACTACTAGTGTAGCGAAATTAAAATTTTTGGTACACAAAAGGGGTGCCGATCTCAAAGAGTAAACTGTGTGGCAAAC